ATCCTATAGCTCCAAGAAAAATATTGTGGGAACATCTTTTCCCCTGGAATATTATGCAGGGAACATGCTTCTTGTTTTATCTTGAAGGAGGGGTTTGTTTTTTTTAATATTTTTTTGCTTGGGAAGGGATGCAGTTATTTGTTAGCTGCCTTGTCATAACACTGTTCAATGAATTAATCCATGTGTATGCAGTTGTTTCAACTGCGATCATGTATACTTACAAGATGTCTATAACTATAATTATAAACAAATAACTCCACTGTTAAACGTTTGGTTCACTAGAATACGTGCAGTTGTTGTTTGTGAACAGCCTATTGCCCACTGGTATTGCAAATTTCCCTTGATGCTAAACTGAGTTTTTCTTTCAATATATCACCTCTTTGCCTCTTACCTTGTATGGCTTGTTCAAGGACTGGTAGTTAACAGTAAGCCTGAGTGCATAAGAAGTGGTTGCATTGACTCCCAAACAGTTGCTTGAACAGCTGTCGGATGTTCTGCCAACTTTCTGTTCACTATCCTTTTCCACTGTCCCCTGGGCTTGAGATCCCTATATCCCACTTTCAGTCTCTAAGGGCACTGACGTAGGCAAATGCAGGATCCTGTTCCACACTTTAAGCTTCTTGGCAGGCTCTCCTTTGGAAGCTGCAGCCAAAACAGTAGCTGAGAGTCTTTGGTGGTCTTTTGTACCAGTCTTTCAGTCTCCTGCAGACTAAAATTGGCCTTCATTGGCCACCCAATGTCCCCAGCATCTGACTTCTTCCTTTAGCTGCCTTCCAGCAGAGGGGCAGAGGAGTTCAAAACAGCAGGTTTCCCCTTCAGCAGCAGAAGCAGCTGGATGTCAAGATGAGCTGAAGGAGGAATGACAGGTTATGGTGTGTCAATTCCCCTGGAGACACCGAACAACAACTATTGTCATTTTGTTTCTCTCAGGTTATTAATACCATTGAGGAATTGCATATAAAGATGGCCAAACAACAAGAACTATTTCCTGCAAAATTTGTTAAACAAAAATGAAGAATTGTTGCTCTGTTGGAAATGTTTTGTGGATTTGTCTGATTTTCCAACTCAGTGATTCAAAATGAAACAAACTGTTCTGAATTTCACGTTTTTCATTTTCGGATTTCCCCTCCACTCCCCTTTCTCTTTTCCTTTTTGGTTTGTTTTCCTCTCCTCACTCTCCCTTTCGTCTTTTCCCCTCCCTTTTATGGGGGAAAAAGTGAAAAGAAATACCAGGGGAAGGGGAGGACAACAAAATGTAAAACTTTTTTTTATTTCAGTGCAAATTAGAACAAATGTATTTGCTTCAAATCAATTCATTTAGAGTCACTTAGTCAAAAAATTTGAAAAAAATGTCATTAAAAATGTTTATAGCATTCAAAATGTTCTCATTTTCATAGCACTCAAAAAGCCATTTTTCACTGACAAACTCAAAAAAATTGTCAAGCAGCTCTAATTATTAACCCATACATCATGCCTGAATCACAATGGAAGCGTGAAGCAGTCTAATATTGAGTCTGTACTGGTCACTTGGTAGCACTTCACTATCTTGGCACTGATTACTACTGAAAGCACTTTTAGAATCATCGCGTCATGCCAGACTCTGCCCTGAGCACTGCCAACATTGTACAGCATTCGAAAAATAAGGGACTGTTTTCTTAACACCCCCATCACACCCCTCCTCTGGATATTATCATTAATAAGCAATACTCACCTACATTCCCCAGGGGTATTTCTTGCTACTTTTTGCAGCACTCACCAACTCCCGATCTTGTTGAAAAAATGTCCCCTATAATAAGGGACTGGTGGCATCCCTAGCCCTGACCTACATACTGTGCAATGGATTTGCCCTTTCATCTCCCAAGGCCTTGTAGTGGTCATTCAGGGAGCAAGGCCCAGGTAGTAAGGTGTGGGAGGGAGGTGTGGACACAGGCAGGGGCAGTGGGCCTAGAGCAGCACCTCACTACCTAACAGCAACGCTCCAGCTTTATATTTATTGGGTTTTTTTGGTACATGTATGTTGCAGGAAATGCAGCAATGTTGTAGCCCACCAGGTGAACCTTACGTTGCCCAACAAGCCAGTCCTCTGCTGATACCGCAGTACTGCTGTCATACATTTTGGCCTTGGAAGAGAACTACAGGAGCTAGCCTCATAAACAGGTCACTTGGCACTGAGATAGTAGGCTAGTGGGCTCCCTAGAAATATAGTTGATTGATCTAATCAAAGGATGGGGTGTTTGCTCCTGTTTGGAAGGAGAGGGATTGTGGTATGGGAAGGAAACCTTCTTCATTACTCTGAACTTGTATCATCCATCCTTACTTACAAGTGGTTTATGAAGAGCAGGTGGGGATGTGTCTATTTCCTGCTATGCACCTTCATTTCCAATTCACAGATGAAATGAAGAACATTTATCTGCCACAGGTCTTGAGCTATGGAAAGCAGCAGGGTCGAATGACGCTCAAGCCAGGGTCACTTTGATAGAACAGACCTGGGATTCCTGACACCATGAGGGCCCCTCCACTAAGGGCGTAGGGTGACCAGATGTCCCGATTTTATAGGGACAGTCCCGATATTTGGGGCTTTTTCTTATATAGGCTCCTATTACCCTCCCCCACCACCATCCTGATTTTTCACACTTGCTATCTGGTCACCCTATATGGGCCACATCTCAGTTCAAAACAGCCTGAATCTATTGATCTTCAAGACAGCCTGTAGGGCTCCTCTGATATTTTTTGGTATTTGGGAAGGGTGGGGTCTGGAGGAATAGTTACTTGTTTGCCACGGGTGCTGAGATGATAAATTAGTGCTTGTAGTACTTGGAAGATGTGAATTCCTGTATAAAATGTAACTTGGTGATGGCAGGTCAGACCATGCCCTGGGCTGCTGCAATATGTACTGATAACAGCTGAGGAAAGGATGACACTAGTGGATTGTACCTGTCCCAGCATTCAGTAAAGGAACAAATGCAAAACTCAGCTCTGAGATGAAATCGCACAGGAAAGAAAGAGGGACGATGTTCACAAAGCGCAGTCACCATTCACGTTCTCTCCAGGGCTGTCATCACACTGCATTCCCTGCTGATTGAAATACACAAAGAACTGCCAGACTGGGCACACCGCTAACAACAAACTGTAGTATGCAGTAATAAAGAACACACACATGTAATATTACTTTGCAAAAATAATCTTTGCTCTCTGTATTCCTAACCTAGGCAATAGTGCAAAAGCAATACAAATGTCAATGTAGTCTGCCACAGAAGAAGAGAAATGTTATTAGTGTATAGATATTTTAACTTAATAAATGTAAATGAATATAGTGCTTGCAGAAAAGGCCAAATTGACAGCCCTGGGGAATGAAGTCCTCTCTTTTCCCACAGACTAAATGGTTTCAGGATTAAAGCATATGCCAGGGAGTCAAGAATGCTGAGTCTCTACTTTCAAAAGGACAGTGACAACTTAGGGTTCAAAGACAAGCAACTCTAATGATAAAAGGAACTAGAGAATGAGAGACAGACAGACAGATGGGATTTAACGTATATAGCATGGGGAAAAGCTGGTTAAGGGGTGATGCTATCACGGGACCAATGTACCACTGAAGAGGTATTGCCTGGAAGGAGTGAAAGGGACTGTTTTCTGTAAGTGGAAAAGAAGTAATGTTCTAGCAGTGGGAAAAGCTGAGCAGTGGAGTAAACTTCAATAGCAGTTGGGTGGCCTCCCCCGTAGCCGGGGTTCCTTCCTTGCAATTCTGGCCAGAGGTCTCTGCTCTATTATCCAAACCTCTGCATTATCCGAATCCCTGGCTTGTCCCCCAGCATGAGATATATGCTGCAGCTTGTACCTATCTCATGCTGGCGGACAAGCCAGGGATTCGGACAATGCGGCGGTTTGGATAATAGGGTTTTGGATAAAACGGGAGTAGTCAGTATAATGGCATTTTAAAACCATTGCCTGCTCCCAAATTTTCCCCTGGTCTTTCTCCGTTTTGGGTGAGGCTCTGGGTAAAATTTCCAACAACATCTAACTGAATTAGGCACTTAGGAGCCTAAGTCTCATTGACAATCTAGGGGTCTATCTACACTATAAACAAACACCGGCGGCTGGCCCTTGTCAGCTGGTTCAGGCTCATGGGGCTTGGACTGAGGGGCCATAAAATTGCAATGTAGATGTTTGGTCTTGGGCTGGAGCCTGGGCTCTGGGAACCTCCCCCTTGCAGGGTCCCAGTGCTTGGGCTCCAGACCAATCCCAAATGTCTACACTGCAATTTTATAGCCCCACAGCCTGAGCCCCACAAGCCTGAATCAGCTGACACGGGCCATCCACCCATGTTTAATTGAAGTGTAGACATACCCTATGGGATTTAGGCACTTAGGCCCTTTTTCAAATGGGAATTAGGGGCCTAGATCCCTTTGAGGATCTGGGTCATTTTTTTTTAAAAGGGTAACATTTTCAAAAGCACCTATCCTACTTACCACAAAATAGTCACTTCTAGGACAGTTTGTGTTGTTTAAAAGATTACCAGGCTGCAGATTTTCAATTACTGAGCAACAATAAAAGAGCAATTCTTCTGTTCAACCACCATTCAAGTTCCACTGTTAGAAGGGGAGAGGTGAGCAGAGCGGATTTGTAAGAAACGACACAATCGAGAGCTCGGCAATGGCCTTTGACGTGTGCCTTTCCCACACACGCACACTCAACTAACAAAACATAATGTTTAAACTTTTTGCTCATGTTAAAATTCATGCCTCTGGTGCACTGTTGTTCCAGCTGAGGCAGTTCCGATGTAAGTGTCCTTTGTATACCCTATGCCTGTGCTACGGATATCCTTCATTTGTCTGCATAATGTACAGATGAGAACTTCTTCTTGTTATTTTCTAATGCGGTGATGGGTGGGGCGTCAGGGCCTGAAACAGCTGCACCAAGCAGAGGAAAGGTAACTATGGCAACCCAAGTTATCTGCATCCTCCATGCATTTCCTCACCCCCCACCCTATATTCTTTCCCGCCCAGAACACAAACTTATAGAACCACCAACCAGCTGGCAGGATGGGACAGTTTCTGGATCTCATGGACCAAGACCCTCTCTCGGTGTTTAGGGACTCACAATGGCAAACTGAGATCATCTAAAGCACAAAGAGTGAAGGGTGGGATAGCATCAAAAAAGGCAGAGCTTGCAGGTACCATAGATGGGGCGCTGGATGTATTACCTTTGCTGTAATGTTCTAGGTTTATTGATACTGCTTCAGTTTTTGACCGTGAGCTGGACTCCTTTCTTAGAAGCAACAGTTTTTCCTTCTTCTGTGCCCCATGTCAAACCCAGCTACAGTTTTGGCCGGACTTTCCTGGGACTCGATAAATGTAATGCCTGCATCGGAACATCGATTTGCAAGAAATTCTTTAAAGAAGAAATAAGGTCAGAAACTCAGCACAATAATTTTGAAAACATTCTGCATAGTAACATGAAAATTGACTGTTAACATTTCCAAGTACTTTAGTGAAAAACTCCTCAATATGTAACTTATCCCCAAGTTTCCATTACAGTGTCAAGTTATTATAAATAATGTATATTAGTATATTTAAGACGACACAATCACCACCAGATTTGAGCCCTGAATATGATTTTTGAAGTAAAGTAAGTAAAATGTCTAAACTTTAACTTTCTGCTGATAAGTTGGCATTGAACCAATTCAAGAGGATAGTGGGGTTGGGGGAGGGGGGAGAAATAGTATGCCAGTTTACTTAGCTGTCTATGGAATTATTTTCTGCTAAGCAGCTGACCAAAGAGGATTTGTCTTTACAAATTTAAGCTATTGATAGACTGCACTGAGTCACTGTAAACATGGCATAAACATTAAGAGCTACATTTTTGAAATGTTAGCACCATATGTATCACATGAAATATATAGATTTTCATGCACCTGTTGGTTAAGTTCAACCAAGATATACATCTGCAAGCACAAAGACAACAGGTACTTCTGCACATCAGGGCCAATTGCAGCTGGAGTTTTCATTAAGAACTTGAGGACAACTGCAGATATTGCACATATGTTTAGATGAATTAAACATGCACCCAAGCAGTTATCAGATTGATCTTACAATTTTCAGGCTCAAAAGCATAACACACCATATGACACTAGGAAAAAATGTAACTATGATAGAGGAGGAGAAAAAAAAGGAGATTTACAGGGGAAAGGTTTATTGTTTTTATTATGATTTATAAGCACTCTCTCTTTTATAGATCTAAGAGCCCCAGGTGTGGAGGAATTATTGTAGTAAAATTGTAGTTTTAATACAGTAATATAAGTGTAGTCATGCTAGACAAATTACTGTTTTTATCTTTAAGCTATTATAGATAATGCGCTATAGTAAAACCATAAGGATTTTTCTCAGACAGGTTTAGCAATGCTATAGGATCATCGATGATGCTTATTTGCCCTGTGGTAATGGTGAAAGGCCCCACTGCGAAAGGTGCTGTTTGAACACAACAAACAGATGGTCCCTGCCCTGAAGAGCTTACAATCCTAATCAGTCTGGCATTCCTGCATTGACTAGCCCCTAACACAGCAAGTCAATGGGGGAGGAATAGCTCAGTGGTTTGAGCATTGGCCTGCTAAACCCAGGATTGCGAGTTCAATCCTTGAGGGGGCCACTTAGGGATCTGGGGCAAAATCAGTACTTGGTCCTGCTAGTGAAGGCAGGGGGCTGGACTGGACTCGATGACCTTCAAGGTCCCTTCCAGTTCTAGGAGATAGGATATCTCCATTAATTTAATGGGACCACAAGCAGAATAAGGTACTACTCGATGTAAGAGTAGCAGAAAGGAGCCGTACTGTCCAATTATTTGTACTAAAGTAGGGCAGAGCAGGCCCCACAAGGACCAGGCCCCATTGTGATAGGCAGTTAACAAATGAAGTAGGGTCCCTGCTCCAAAAAGCAGAGAGAGAATGTACAATACATATGGCTAGATCCACAGCTGGCCTAAATCAGCATAGCCACACAGATTTCAATGAAGTAACGTTGATTTGCATCAGCTGAGGGTCTGGCCTCTAGGATAACACCAGCAGGTCTTAGAATGTACGAGGAGCCCTCCAACCTGCAGATACACAGATAATTAATCCAGTACTAAGGCTGGACAATCACATGGAGACTGCCTCTTCCACACACATAGACATACAGCGTTTAAGGCCGGAAGGGACCACCAGATTCCAATCTGACCGCCTGTAGCTCACAGGCAACCACCAGCACCCACACTCTAAACCTATGTGTTAATAATAGCATTGGCACTCTGCAGCCATTGGGGTGGGAGTATTAGTAATTGCCCCTCCACAACCCCGGGGGACAGAGAATGTTGGTATGAGGGGCCAGAACGGTTTCCCATGCACCCCTTTTAAGATCAGCACTGCCTGTAGCAGGTTAAGCATGTGTAAGCTCTAGATATTTGTGTGACAGCCCAGTTGGTACCTTAGTACAAGATTGCTCAGCTGTGTAGCCTGCCAAAGGAGTTCTACACATTTGCTTTACTCCTCTGGGTTATTAGTAGTAATAGGAATAGAGGGTTGGCAATGCACTCACACCCTCTTCTCCTGAACAGTCTACCATAGAGGTGCCTAAGCAGAGTTGTAACTGGCATTTTCACTCTCCACTTTGCCTTTGAGAACTATATGGAGGCTCCATAATGTCAAAGCTCTTCTCCCATGAGCCTGCTGTAAATCTATAAGTGGCGTGGTGTCTATTCTTTAAAGGAGGAGTTCATTGCTGGCTTGCCAAGGGGGGTTTTGTCTCGCTAAAAGTAGTGAAGCAAAAATTACTAAATTCTCTGTGGTAGTTACAGTTTGTTCAATTCAGTGCTGCAAAGTGGTAACAAGACATGTTTGTGTTGGGAGCATTTTGAAAAGAACAAACATTTAAATGTAAAACTCTGATTAGCTTTAAACATTTTTTTTTCTGCAGTGGTTAACACTGCCACTCCACTTGGCTTCCTAGACACAAGGTTTTTTGAACAACTAGCTGCAGTCTAGTCCTGTAACTAATTTCCAACACAGGAATGCTATTCTTAAGAGTAACAGGGGGAGACTGTCAATGGGACTTGTGCTCCTAAATCTTTTAGGTGCTTTTGAAAATCTCCCCCCCATATATATAAGCTATACAGCACCATCAGCGAAGCAATGTATGTATTTCAGTTACAGCATGCTTAGGTCATTTTTTCCATCAGTCTGGGGAGCTACTGCCTGCCTGCACGCTGGATTAACCTTCAAGGAAATGTGATCTGTGCAGGAGGATGGGAAACAGGATGCCTGAGTTTTCTTCCCAGCACTGCTACTGACTCACAGCTTGGTCTTGTGCTAGTCACTTAACCTAGCTTTGCCTAAATGGATCTGTCTGTAATGAACGTACTAATCCCTGCCTGCCAAGTATGTTGAAAGGCTTAATTAGTTTGAAAAGCACTTTCAGATCCTCAGCAGAAAGGCATTCTAGACAAGCAACTTATTAGTGTGGTTCCATACACTGATGAAACTTTATAACTGAAAAGTACATTATGCCATCGGTGTGCTGGCTATACATGATGCCAAATACAGGAGTACTTAAAACAAAGTCAGATTCCCCAGAATTGTATTACTGTGTCTTAAGATTTGCTAAGGAACCTTTCATTCGTTCGTACTCAAACTAATGATCAGTATTGGACTTCACGCGTCTGTATATTGCTCAGTTGAAGAGGCAGCCATTTAACTATATCTGTATGATCCTTTGGGCACCATGTCCAATGCACATGCATATTTGAATTATTCAAATCACAAAGCACACCCGTGCTCAAAATTTAAAAAAAATGACTGCCAATTGTGGTTGTGTTAGCATGTATTGAGTACTGTCAGAGGCAGGTCTTATGTCCTCTGTATTTGTGCAGCGCCTCGCACAATGGGACTGCGTATTGATGGAGGATTTGAGGTACAGATGGAGATTTGATTTCATATTTGACAAAAATCCCTAACATAGACCAAGTTTAGATTCCACATTTCCCTGAACCTCAAGCCCTACAAGCATAAGGGTTTAGAACACTCAAGTTCCAGCCAAACTCCACCTCTAACGCTAATCTTTCTAAGTACGCCTCTGGTTAGAATCTTGTGTTAACTAACCACAGCTGAGCAACTGTGGGGAAAAGGCTAGTGTTTGTTTAAGCCATGACATTTGACAAGGCCGGCCGGATACAGGGAATGGAAGGAGAGGCATGTCACCAAGTAAGTATACATGGGAATAGCGTGAGCGTGTAGGAACAAAATCAGGAAAACCAAGGCAAAGAATGAGTTACAGTTGGAAAGGAATGTTAGAGACAAGAAGGGGTTCTTCAAATACGTCAGACAGAAAGAAAGATCAGGGATGGTGTGGGTCTGCTGCTCAGTGGAGAAGGTGAGCTGGCAACGGAAGATGATAGGAAGGCAGAGCTGCTCAATACCTACTTTACTTCAGTCTTCTCACAAAAAAATGTGACCAGATGACTCGTCTAGTTACCATAGACAATAAAGGGGAAAGGATGCAGATTGGGATAAGTAAAGAACACATCAGAGATCTTCTGACCAATTTGAATGAATTCAAGTCTGGGGGGCCTAATTCTATTCACCTGAGGGTACTGAAGGAACTAGCTGAAGAAATCTCGTAGCCATTGTCAATAATATTTGCAAACTCATGGATGACAGGAGAGGTCCCAGAAGACTGGAGAAGGGCTAATGTAGTGCCCATTTTTTAAAAAGGGGGGAAAGGAGAAGCCAGAAACTATAAATCAGTCAACCAGATTTTATTACCCAGGAAGCTACTAGAGCAATGTACAAGATATTCAGTGAGCAAGTACCTGGAGGATGAAGGGGTAATCACTTGCAGCTAGCATGGATTTACTAAAAACAAACCAGCTTGATTTCTTTCTTTGACAGGGTAACTGGTTTGCTGGATAGGGGGCATGCAATGGACATAATATACCTGAACTTCAGCAAGGCTTTTGACACAGTCCCACATGACATTCTTATAAGTGAGCTGGAGAAATGCAGGCTCAGTGGAACTACCATTAAGTGGATACATAATTGGTTAAACAACCACAAACAAAGAGTAACTATTAATGGAATGATGTCAGATTGGAGGGAGGTCTCAAGTGCAGTCCCACAGGGATGTGTTCTGGGTCCAGTGTTCTTTAATATCTTTATTAAATGACCTGGGTGTAGGAATAGAGAGCACACTGATCAAATTTGCAGAAGACGCAAAGCCGTGGGGCAAGGGGAGAGGTTGCCAACAGTTTGAAGGATAGAGCTAAAATTCAGGGGAGCTTGATAAATTGGAGAACTAGGCTGTAGAAAACAAAATGAAATTCAACAAAGACAAATGTAAGCTGCTACACTTAGGGAAGAAAAACCAAATGCACAAGTACAGAATGGGGGATAACTGACTTGGAGAAGGATCTGGCAGTTGGGGTAGATCACAACTTCAACATGAGTCAGTAATGTGATGCTGTTGCAAAAAAAAAAAAAGTGCAAATGCAGTTTTAGGTTGCATTAACAGAGGCATAGCATGCAAGTCAGGAGAGGTGATAGTACCGCTCTACTCGGCACTGGTTAGGCCTCAGCTGGAGTGCTGTGTCCAATTTTGGTCACCAATGTATAGAAAGGATGTAGAGAAACTGGAAAGGATCCAGAGGTGAATGACAAAGATGATCAAAGGGATGCAAGTCATGTGAGCAAAGGCTGAAGGAACTGGGTATGTTCAGTTTGGAAAAGAGGGGATTAAGGAAGGGACATGATAGCGGTCTTCAAATACTTGAAAGGTTGCCATAAAAAAAGATGGAGAAAAGTTGTTCTCTCTTGCCACAGAAGGCAGGACAAGAGGCAGTGGGTTCAAACTACAGCATAGCAGATTTAGATTGAATCTCAGGAAAAACTTCCTAACTGTCAGAACAGTAGGCCAATGGAACAGATGCCTAGGGAGGTTGTGGAAGCTCCTTCACTGGAAGTTTTCAAAAGGAGGCTGGATAGGATAGCCATCTGTCTTGGATGGTTTAGACCCAACAAATCCTGCATCTTGGCAGGGGGTTAGACCAGATGACTCTTGTGCTCCCTTCTACCCTATGGTTCTAGAATACAGCACCAATACACTCCAAGTGAACATGTATGAAGCCAAGGGTTAAAAGCCTCCAATCTCACTAGCAGTGCCTCAATCGGAATTGCACATCTTGAATGGAACCATTGCTGGTGAGTGGCACTTTGCTTTGTGAGCATTCACACACTCCAACTTAAGTAGTTTTAAAATGGAGCTTGATGGCTGTGATTGTATGCCTGTAGCAGCAGCTGGGGACTGGACTCAGTGGCCCAGAAGGTCCCTTCCCATCTTATGTTCTCAACTTAAATGAGTTCTTATGAAAGTTTGTACAAAAGCAAAACTTTACTTTGTGGGGGCAGGGAGGGAAGATGACACTGCCTGAAACAATAAAATGGGGGAATTTTACTGGAGAAAAAGGCTAATATTCTGGTGTAATTCTTTATGCGGCAAATTATTCTCTTAGCTCTAGAAATCACCAACCACAAATGGATTAAATATACCAACATTTGAAGTAGGATCCTAGAGCAGAGACAATCTAATTAATTCCTTCATTATTTCTCTGTGCTGTTTTCCTGACTGAAAGTCAAGAAGGTTTCCTCTGTAGCTTTCAAACTTACTTTATTTTGTTAACGTCATTTCATCTATTTCACCCAACCCTCAATGGAGTCGCTTGCCAATCCTATTTTAGCTTCAAATTATTAACATTAATTTATGTGGGGATGCAATTAGGAAATGCTTTCCAATGCTCTCAGGGCTGATTATAATTAGGAAATTTTTATTGGCACCGCATGTTTGACATTAGGCTAGCAAAAAGTTAGCGTTCAAGCCACATTATTCAAGTGTGTTACTTGCAAAATACTCAGCTGTGCCCCTAAATTATTACATATGAAATGTGTGTGTGGGCAGGGCTGAGGGGGCCGATAGAAGAAAAATCTCCAGAATCTAATTACACAGCCCATATGCTCCCCTCCTGTGCAATACTGTGTGGAGGGGAACAAGTTAGTGAAAAATCTCCATGGCTACACTGAAGCTGCGTATCCAGAACTTTCCCCCCCACTTCCCTGCCCCCAAAGAAGTGGGGAGGTCAGGCTCCCAGTCCTCCAACTTCTGTCCAACTTTGTGAAAGGATTCCCCTTTGCGCTCCCAGGAGGCACCCCACCCTGGCTAGGAGAGCACAGCAGGACCAGTAGCCAGGCTGTCACCAGCTGCCAGACTCCAGCTGTGCCCCGTAATGCTGTGGAGGAGACTCCCAGGGCACAGTGTGTGTTAATTTTGTCCCAAGCAACATTAATTTTTCAGGAGGTTTTCCTCATTTGAGGGTGGGGAAGCCAGCTACTTAGCATGGCTCCGCCTTCTTCTGGCTGTCCATTTTTCTTGGGTGACCCATAGTCTCGGGGCAGAAAAACAGCTACCCAGAGCAGAGAGCAGAATAGAGCGGGTTGGAATTTTTCAATGGAACAGTTTTCTGTCAGAAAATATTCATTCAGAAAAATAAAAAAAACTCACAGAAGAATAGTAAAAATGAAGTGCTTCAACCATGCCTGAATGAAAAGTGATGCCATGTGGTCAGGCATGCCTCATAGGGTGATTTCAATAAGGACATTTCTGTATTTCCATCCCAACATTTCAGAATGTTTTTTGTGGGAAATTTTGACTTTTCTTCCCATTTCAGGATGAAAAGAAAGGTCAAAATGTCAGAATTTCCCACAGAACAGAAACTCTGAGTTTTGACCAGCTCTGCTTTTCTCCATCTAGAGGGCCCAGCTGTGGCATCTGCTGCAGATTTTGTTCCCTCCACTCTACACAGCATGGATCAAGGTTGCTGGGGAATCCTCTGCACTATCCGTTTTCACACGCACCATCACAGCGATTTGGGGGGAAAGAAAACAGGGGCGCAAAGACAGTTAATTAGCCATTCAAATAGGAACTAATCGGTGCTGTTTAATACCCTTGTCCTCTGGGTGGAAAAACCCAGTTCAGTCCTCAGCAGGTATTTGTTTACTTTACAAAATCACCACCCAATGCAGCATGGCCGATCATATGGTATCACAACAGTAGGAATATCTGGAATGCAACTGGGGCATATCCATTCTGCTACCAGCAGTGACAACCACTACTCCCAGTAGGAATTGTAGTGATGAGACAACAGCGAGACACTGGTGATGCAGTGATAATGCAGGAAGTCCACAAAAAAGCATTCAACTGGCAACACTTCTGATTCCTGGACAAGTGATTGTGGGTTCACAACCTGAACTCAGATTTGGGTTCATATCCAAGGCTGCCATCAAAGATATGTGGGGCTTAATAATGCACATAACACAATTAGACATGTAAATCAGATATTTGTGTATATACACACACACCACTAGTAAGGGGTCTAACTGGCCGTGTGCAACAGATGACTTACACATGCACCCATGGCACTGGGGTACATAGCTTTGAAAATTTGGCCCCAAAGAGCAATACGACAAGGAGCTGATACACTGAATCCTTCCAGTGAGATATTAAAGAAAGGTCCATGCTGCCTTTGCAGCGCAAATTAAATCTCCTGTAGCACAGTTTTAATGGAGGGGATAACAGAGATCTGGGCCAGCCCTGAAGAAGAGCTCTGTGTCAGCTCAAAAGCTTGTCTCTCTCACCAACAGAAGTTGGTCCAGTATTACCTCACCCACCTTGTCTCTCTCATATCTCTGGGACCAACACCATTGGACAGTGACACAGACTTACAGACCTACGTGTTCTTCCACAGGTACCTTGAGACTCTAGAGTTTTACTTTTGTTTTCCACAGCAGCACCATACACTGAGGTACAGCATAATCCTTGGGTGCTTTAAACCTTAATCATTTATAACCATAGCATCTATATTCTCTGCACAGCATTATGAGAGGATGAAACTACAAGGACTCAGCTGGGTTCCAAATAACAGTGTTTACTAACTACATAAAACCATACCAGGCCTAGCTACATATGTACACTGCTACTCTGGCAGGGCTCTGGTGGCTTCTGCATTAGAGGACAGGTTGGCTACTAGAGAGCTCCTAAACTATTTAAAGGGCTACTACCCAATTCCTAGCACTATAACAACTCTTATTTTCCTCCACTGTTTGTAAGTACCAGCTGTAAGCATGAAATGAGAATCTGCTTAGTTACCAGAAGTGTCTTTCCTCTATTGAATGTGCACAGTTTTGTAGGGCTGCTCGTAATACAAGGTTACTGGGTTGAGTTTTTGTTGTTCAACAAAACACAACACACGCGCACACACACACGAATTTCCGTAAGGTTTGCCAACAGGTCTGGGGAGTGGGGAGAGAGGAGTACTAGAACAAGTGTGGGGCCTCCTAAAAGTGTCCTTTTCACCATTCCCCTCTGCAATTTAAAACATTTTAGAAATGATCAAATCCTTCTTCTAGCCCCTGGAGTTTAAATAAGAAAACTGGAAATTGTGTTTGAATTGTCCAACATCATGTGGTTTATTAACAGTCTCCACTGGGAACTTGCTTTGCTTTGGCAGGTTTGACAACTGGCTTGCTTCTCATTTAAAACTGCCTCCCGACTACCTTCCCAGTTACTCCGGGAACTACACAGATGATGCCAAGAGCTGGCGGCTGGTTGAGATCTCCAGGCTAACCACCAAATACCAGCATGACCAAGCTGACAAGAGAATCTGTGCTTCCCTTTCCAAGGCAAAAAGCTGCAGCATCGAGCGTGTCTTGAGGAAGACGGAGAGATTCCAAAAGTGGCTGAAAGCAAAGCGCCTCACACCAGACCTCGTGCAGGTGAGTATGCAAGGTCCTGTTAATGAGGAGCACACCAATTTAGCAGCTACTGCAGTTACCTCCTGTAACAGAGTCTGGGGGGACTCTCTGATTGCTTCGTTTGTTTATTTTTAAAACTTCATAAAGAATCAAGGACTGTGACTCACTGGAGCTGCGTAAGCTCTAAGCTTGCAGGGCTCCACAAGAAATAGGATTTTGAGGCTCTCAGAGCACTGTAGTGGGGACACAAGAAGAGGGGGAAAGTGTCTTCAGTGCCACGTGGATGATTCCCACATAAAAATGAAGCAGAGGTTAATATCCAAACCAGTCCATTTTAATTTTCTTTTGTAATGATCAAGACTAGAACTGGCAGCTTTTTACAAAGCTCCTTCAGTTCCATTCTGCCTTCTCTGCTGATCGCTACTGGTCCGTCAACCCCTTAGGAAGCATCTCACGGGAAATGATTGCCAGGAAGTGCTGGTGGAGAATGGCTGGAGAGAACAAGATTAAGCCCCAGGGAGGAGAGGTAGAATGAACCAACCAAGACTTTAAAACTAGGATTGTTTTTAAAGTGAAGGAGGGTTGGGACACCACTGGGACTATGAAAAGTGAGCAGGGAACACAGATGTGCAGCAAACTTTTAAGAAACGTGCTGATTTTACGAGTCTCTATTCTCCAGGCTGTGACTTGGCCCATAATGGAGCAGAATCTAAAGTCCAGATACAAACATCCCTAATTGCAAGGGCTCAAAATCTGAACCTTCCCACTGTTTGAGGTGCTTTAATTCAGGGATCAGATTTGACCCCTTAGAGAAACAGGATCAAGCTTTGATCTGTGATCCAAACTGGAATCCTGTCTGAGCCATCTACTTGTTGAACACCCCAATATGGCAAACCACATACATTAAAAACATCATGAGTCAAGCCCCCCAAAATCCTGAGATTTAAAAATAAATAATAAATAATAATAATAATGTTTTTTTAACATACACACACACCCCACCAGGTTTGAGCTTTAAGGGGCACATTTTCAAGCTTTTCTGTGCAACCATGAGGGCTAGAAACTTTGTTTTCTCCAAAGAAAGTAGAGATTCTCGTGTAATCACCTGACTCTAGGAGCTGGGACTTTAAGAAAGTTGCCAGCACTGCACCCTGCTATAATGATTATTGATCTGTTCCCCTTGTCACTGGATAAATGACTAGGCTTTTTAAAAAACTGTGCTTTTCAGTTGTTTCTTTCCTCTGAAAGGTCAGCCTTCCCCCCACTCCTGGAGAGGGGATTTATAGCATCCAGCAGCCCTTGGTGAGGACAGCACCATTCTCTGTCACTACTAACTCCCTCCCTCCCGGAGGGTCAGGAAACACCTGCCTTCTCAGCTGATCCCACTGTGCGTGCATGAGAAGAAAGCACCACATTGAGGGGGCACCCAAGATTCCCTCGGAGGCAGAGCACATGCATCCTAACCCCAGGGCACTGCAGGACTCACTCCACAGGCCTGGAAGGAGCCCAGAGGCACCGGACTAGGATTCCTATTTCTTAATCTCTAGGCCATCTATAGCAACATGTGTCATGCAAGAGGAAGTTTGCTGGCCTTTTTATTGGAATCCTTAAATGTCACAGGGTAAGCGAGGCGAGACAGGTGTGTCAGTCACAGCTTCAGGGAAGCCGCTGGGTGGTTACTGCCACTAGGGAGAGGGAGGAGAAGACGAGAGAGATAAAAGGCATATGGTGCAAGCTGATAACCACACAGCAGAAAAGGCAAGAGCGGGTTTTAAACAAACCAGCTCTGGAGAAGCACTGAGCTCTGAGCACCTGCTGCAGAGTGTGAGAGGAAGGCGCCGTTCCCACTCCAGCCAAGGGGCAGGGTGCTGCCTTTTGCTGAGGATGGCTTTCAGACAAGAGACCGACACCGCCCACCCCCTGAGCAAAGGGTTGTAGTGACTGCTTAAAAAGGAGGGAAAGGAGCGGGTTGGTGGCTGGGATGGAAGGAGGATCATTCAGCTGAGTGTTTGGGCTAGAAAGTGGTCACTCTCTAAAGCGGGGGATCTGCTTTGAAAATGAACCTCATAAAAATGTCAGCCTGTAACCCACCAGATCCGCTCCCTGGGCACATTCACTCAGCTCTGCTGACTCCTAGCAATCAGGAGTTTCTGCTGCTTTTTACTCCTGCTAGCCTGCAGAGCAAGTACAGTTGAGACGGAGTGAGCTGCAAATCCATAGGCATCATCAGTAACAGGGTTGTTGACTAAATTGCGATCAGGGGCACCTGTGCAAACCACTGACAGCAAAAGAGTTATCCAGGTGTCACTGTGGGGCTAATTGGTTGAGCAGAACCTTTATTACTGGCAAGAAGGTGGAAGGAGCCCAGTGTGACTCTCAGAGCTGGCAGCTAGAAAAATGAGCACATTTGAGCTGGAAGACAAAATAAACCTGGGACGGAACAGAACATCTCTTTGGGAAAAGGCTACACACCACTTTTTGGAAGATATATTGTACTTCATCTAATAGTCGTATAAAAGAGGAGAAGGAAAGGCAACTGGGGGTTACAGCAAATGTTCAAAAAAGACTCTTTATCTAAGATTCACATTTTTTCATCAGCTGCATTATATGAATGTCTCCTTTGAAATCCTGCAATGAATTGTTTTCCAAGTGCATTAAGTCAGTCTCTCTCCACAAGATGGCAGTGTGGAGTGTTTTACTGGTGCTGAGGTGGGAAACCCAATATAGTATAGCAGGGCAAGCTGGTGAAACCCGTCTGGTGAGCAAGTTTCATGGGAGGTTGTGTATAAAATTGGGCGCTGTCATGAGAGTGGGGCAGAATTACTTTAAATCAATGGCCAAACAAATTGATGTGCTTAAAATATCTATCTACTGAACTCAGGAAACCTGTATGTTTCAAAATGGAGAAATTCTTCCTGAGATCTGCTATAGAGATGTTTAATTATTCAACTCCTACTCCTCTCCCAGGGGTCCCCGTCTTATCAAAGGCTCTTGCCACTACAGAAAGCCCCCTCACTCCTCCCACACTTCCTCCATTTCTCTGAAACCCAATTTCAGTTGGGCTGGACAGTGTCACAAACACACGTCACACGAAACAAAATCCCAACACACGGTGAATTCTGTTTGCATGCCCCGACATTGCAGCCTACTTTCTCCTACAGTCTAGAATTTCCTCTGTGCACATTTGAGAATGCTGAACTTACATAGGCTCCCTCATGCCCGAGAGCCAAATTGCCGGTGCCAAGGCCAGGGCATCATTCAAACTCAAGAACAAACTCACTGAGCAAATTTCAGCAAGTTTTCAAACCTTTCTGGTCCTGAAAGTCAAAGCAGGACACGGTGCTCTGCAATCAACAAAACACACCTTACACACTGATCTAGGATTGCAGCTTTCACAGCTGCATGGGTCTTTGAATCTGAAAATGAAGCAGACTAGCATAAACTGATATCACTTAGTTTGAATGGAATATAAACTTGGTCTCATTTAGAAGTGCAGTTGTTTTCCCCCTCACTTTTAATTCTCAATAAAGGTGGACCTAAACCAATACCCCAGATTGCAAATACCTCCCCTAAAATCCAAATGTGGATCCAAATTTTGCAAATGGCCACTCTTTATAACGGGCTGAACCAAAAACCTGGAACCAAACATCCCTGAAATGTGAGGTGTTTGAAATTCAGAGCCAGGTTTTCTGGTTTAGTCCCACTGTAAAATGAATGACGGGTTTTCTGTGCATTTCTCTGACCTGTTCAGCTGCAGGAGGTTGGAGATCTCTCAGATACCCCTCCTGAGATTTAAACAGCAAGCGCTCCAGAGGTGTGTCCCCTCTGAGCTGTGATTTCAGTGGTATGGTATTTGCAGTGCAAACCAATGTCGGGGTGAATGCTTTGTTTTGTGAGATGATAAACAACTGCAAACACTTAACACAAGAACTATTCAGTGATTGGCATTTTTCGTAACGCTCGGGGTTCTATTGATGTAGTCAAGGTAGCAGTATTCCCCATCAAACTATGGTCACTACGCTGGTGGCTGCACCAGCCTCCCTGTAGCTTTGGATGTATAAGAGATCTGACAGAAACTACTGGGCTTAAGTAATTTTCTTTTATAGAACAGAAAATTATGACAAACCTTAACATACTTGAATCAAAATGACAGACCATGAAATAATGTTTTTCACTTTTCACTGACTGCCCTGCCTGACCCAACTATCAGTTGGGCTGCCTGCCACAATAATTATTTCATCTGCCACAGTGAAAATCTTTATTGCGAGCTACAAATGCTTCAGTACTGAAATCATGCTTGCCCCAGAGACAATCTTGATTTAACTCTGTGTTTGTGTGCAGCACTGGATTGCACGTATTAGCCTGTACAGTAGTAATAGCGACATGCTGTTTTGTCTGTGTTTCAAGCTCCAGAATTCATCACTTTCAGCATCAGAGTTCACATCACGTGCTGCTTGTTTTTTTCGGTGTGAGGTGAACAATAAAAAAGTCGGCTAGTTTCAGCAGAGATCTCCTGCAGGGCAAATTTCTAATTCTAACAACAAAGAACAGCAAAGAAAAGGCTTGAGGCACCAAAGATGTGAACAATATCAAGGTACAAGAAAAAACCCTCAAGTTTTTCAACTTGCCCATTTTGCACATATAAGTTATAATGTGAAGCTGTTAATCAGCATGATAGTCCTGCTGCCACCACATAACCACCATCTTTAGGTATCTGGCCCCTGAGGAGCAACCTTTAAAACCTCACTTTGGTCATTAAATGTCAGCAAGTGGTTCATTCATCTAATGTCTAGTCCTTTGTAGGAAAGTATTTTTGATCTACAGCCATCTCCCAGACCAATCTCTTTTTGACTTATTGCCTTGTTACTAGAGATGTGCCTGAACCAAACCTCCAGGTCTGAACAGACCTGAACTTTAAGTGGAGAATAATGCTGGAATCTGAAGCTGGAACAAGATCCTGATTTTTGCAATAGTCCTCTATCTCCGTCATGGGCTGAACCAAAGTCTCAGATTCAAACATGCAAAACCTATGGGTGGTTTGAAATCCAGATTCAAATTTTTTGCAGCCTGGATTCATTTCTAATTGTATTAATTCACATAATATACATAGCAGTCACTCCTTAGTGTGAACTGCAGATGGCAGTGATTCAGGATTGAGTTTATCCCTTCCTTGACTGTTTGGTAGTACTTTGTGATTGTGATAGTATAAAGACAGGATGGTTGTGCTGCAGAGGTCTCTTCTGTGTCAGGAAGAGCTCTGAGTCTGTTTGCACAAATAAGCACACACACACACCAATTTGTATTCTTGTATTCGCTGCCAGGGCCGGCACTAGGATTTTTGCCACCCTAAGCAAAACCAATTTTGGCCACCCCCTGTTTTTTTTTACCCCACCCCCGGCCGCGCCTCAACTCCACCTCTTCCCCAAATCCCCAGCCCTGCCTCCTACCCCCAGGCTCTCAAGCCTGGGAGGGAGGGAGGGAGAGGGAGAAGCAACGCGCGTGCCGTGGCCGCTTGGGGTCTCCCCCTCCCTCCCAGGCTCTCAAACCTGGGAGGGAGGGGGAGCAGCGGCACGCGAATCAGCTGTTTCGCATGCCGCAGCTGCTCGGGATCTCCCCCTCCCTCCCAGGTTTGAGAGCCTGGGAGGGAGGGCGAGCAGCGGTGTGTGAATCAGCTGTTTCGCACACCGTGGC